TTTCCCAATGAAGAAGATAACTTTTGAGATTTTAAAGTAAGTATATACAGTTTTTCCTAGACTTGGCCTAAATAATTTATTGAAAATGTGTTTTATAAAACTTTTTAGTTTTGAAAGTAAAGGGAATGTAGTGACTCAATAACTTCTCATACCATCTCCAGGTCCACACATGCCTGTACAAGGGTCACTAAGTGTTAAACAATGTAGTAGTAGGGCAGCTATAATAATTATAATTTTGTTAATGATTCTCATATTATCATTATTAATATCACTATTATTATTTGCAGTATTGATAACTGAACCCAGGACTTTTGCACTATGCTATATCTGTGACCTCTTATTTTTTAATTTTGAGAGAGGATCTTGTTAATTGCCCAGGCTGGACTTGTACTTGTAATAATCTTTCCTCAGTCTCTTAGAGTTCTAGAATTACAGGCATGACACTACATAGGCTTTTTATAAATGTATTTTGAAGAAATATGTCATACACAAAATAATTTATGGGGCCAGAGATATAGCTTAGTGGCACAGAGCCTGCCTGGTAAGCACGAGGTCCTGAATTCAGTTCTTGGTACCCTCCTACAAAAATTATAAATCATTCAAAAATATCAGAATACAGTACTTACTTTAAACAATCCATTACTTAATGTTCCTGAAACATTACCCTTAAAATAAAGGGAAGTTACAATTTGTGTTCAGTGGATTTATTCATATGATTTTTTTTTTAAGGTCTTTTTTAGGTCTTTATTTTTTTAGGTCTTTTCAAGTGAATCTGAATTTCACTTATTGTGAATTGCTATGGTATGTTAAGACTACAAAACTTTCTATTAAAATTCAGTGAGCTGTGAGTTTAAAAGGTACAGAGATTTTAGACTCTTTAAATAGTTCCTAAATGCAGAATTGCTTTCACAATTAGCTATATGTAGGTTCTACATTTTTCTTTTCAACTAAATAAGATATGAATGTTTGTTTAAGATATTTGTAGAACTTTCAAATGAAGTCCTGCAATTCTCATGTATTCCTAAAAGTTTTAAGGTACTAGATGGATAAAAGGTGTGATTTTAGACCTACCCAAAATTTAAATTATTCTGCATGAAAATCTTTGAAAGGTTAAGTTCTTTAATTCATGTGCAGATGAGATCTGATAAAAAAAACATGAATTTTAAAATTTTCAAATTTATTACAATGAGACACATTGCCATTAATTCCATTATAATACTTCCCTTCACTTTGAAACACTTATCACATTATTCTTAATATTTTTATGAAGCAGTTTTGGAAGTCCTCTTTTCTGAGTGTATTTAATTTTACTATCCTGGATGCCTGAGGTCTGAGTCCATTCAAAATGTTCACCCCTCATGGGCATTTTGATTTTCTAGAAAGTCCAAAAACAGCTGCTTTACTGTCATATTTAATGAGTAAGGTACACAAAGACAAACCATAGTGTTTTCATGAGACTAATTCTATTTCACTAGGCAATATACATACATCATTGTAAATGAGAGGAAGTATTTTGAGGGCATGTGCGAAGAAATATTTTGAGGGGAATCAATAGTAATGTGTCTTTTACTCTAAGAAATTTTTAAATTTAGATTTGTTATACTTTGATCATTCCTTGAAGATATCAATATTGAAAATGCCAAAACCTCTTAAATCCAACAGAATACACTGAAAATTTCTGGTTCTCTTGATAACGTTTGACCCAAATCTTTACTTTGGGGGGAAATAGTTGGTAAATGGATTGTTGTTATGTTGAAAGAGATGTGATATTGGTGATAACACTCTTGCTTTCTCATCTAAATTAGGAACTAATAATGTTTTTGAAACTCTCTTTTGAATGAGGCTTGGTTTAGGATGTATTCTCTGGTCTGTATGTGGCCTGTAACATCTCAAACTATTTTGTTATCTTGTGATAACACCTGATATCTGTTCAATTACCTCAGAATTTTGAGATTTATGACTATGTTAGGGAATGAATAGTGAGATGAAACGGGAAATTTTAGATAAAAAATACATTAAAAATAAACACCAATTTTATGAAAATACCAATGTTTATTAAAAATAAATACCAATATCTATGAAAGTATGCAGGATAGAAAATCATTTATTAAGCAGTACACCCACCTCTGGATCTTATTAGGTATACTCTGGTGCCGGCCTGCAGGTAAGTCCACAGAGATCTTAGAGGGGGAGTGGGGATGAGAAGGGACCAGAGATGTGAAGAATGGAGAAAAGACAGAAATATGATCAAGTCTCCTATATTCAAAGAAAGAGTAACAAATACATAGGGTATTCGGGCAGGAGGGAGTTGGGTTCTTAGATGTCAGCAGGTAACTTAGCAACAGTGACAAGACCAAGGATTATAGGTTAATTCAAATTTTTAAACTTCCTATGCATGGGCTAATTAACAATCCTTGAATGGGCCAAACAGGCTAGGCAAGGAGCTGCTTAACTACCAAAATTATCTCCTAGAGGGGGTTAAGGTGGTGCTGCCTGCAGATATAAGGTGGCAGCCATTTACAGGGCTTCCCACATACTCTCATTTTGTAGATGAGAAATCTGAGAGTTGCAGAATATAGAGCATTTTCCTAAGACCACAGTGCCTAGTTCATATTTCTGAATTCAAAGTATTTGTAGCTGAATATAGTAAAATAACATTGAGCTTTTGAGAAATGTGTATATACAAGCATTATTAACCAGTTTTTTTCTTTTTAAATTAACTTTTTTATTTTAAAAACAAAAAAGAATATAAACAATGATACAGAATTTCAAAATATGATTAACACTAGTTAATGTATTGCATATTTTTATCTTTATTGTAGTTGTTCATATTATAAAATATAGACATGAAATAATTGAATAGTGAAGGTGAAAACTTCTTTGATAAACTAACAGAAGTTAGTAGTATAATTATCTTTCTTATGTATATTTTCAGCTTTCTCTCCTGAACTGTATCAAGAACCTTTATGCAGATAGAATATTCAACAGGAACACCTCAGTTTTGGGATCTTTCTCTTTATATGACTTGCATAAGCAAAGTTGTATTGCTGGAATAGAATTGAAAAGCAGCCATGTTCAATATGATGTAAGATTTAAGAACATAAAGATTCAATTGCTGGAATTCAAATTCCAACTCTACTCAATGTAATTATTTGTATTAACATGACCCTGAAGCAATTATTCAACTTTACTTTCTTCATCTATAAAATGAAGATTAAAAACAGCAACCACTTGATTGAATTGTTGGAAAGATTAAGGGAATCACTGAGTGATCAAATTGGGTGACTGTATACGATATGTGCTATAGCCTTGTATAATATTATTATGAATATTATTCTACTAAAGAAATATGGTAAGCAGATAAAACATACTCACATGTTCTCTAAGAAGGCTGTCTCAACTGTCTAGTATGATTGAGGACTATCTAGAAAATGATTAAAATTAAAGGAAAAGATTTACTTTGGTAATTACATAAATTATATAATTTAGGATAGTTTGGTTATAAATTATAAATTCTTATTTCAGGATTCAAACAATATTAAGCATTCAAGTACAATGATTTATTAGCTGGTTTTCCAGGTTTTTTTCTTTACAAATCCCCAATAATCATGCCTGAGAAGAAATGGCTTCAAGATTGGAAGTACTTATGAGTTGTAGTGCTAGTATAAAAAGGGGAGAATTGGAATGAAGTGGGTTCAGAGAAATTAGGGCAATACACAGTCTCTTGAAAGTCAACAGTCAATAGTAAATAAAGTCAAATATTAAAGAAAAATTGTAGATGACAAGATAGGAAAACTTACCCTTACTTTGGGTCATTAGAGGAATCTGGAGAATTTGTTGCCACTATTTTCATGAAAAGGCAGACTGAAGACCAGAATGGTAGAAGTTGAAGGATAGTGAGAGATGAGAAAAACAATCAGTAAATTTACCACAAGCAGTGAAACGATGCAAAAGTAAGAAGTGAAACAGAACAATTGCTGGAGGAAGGCAGTTGCTCAAGAAGGCTTTTATAAATATCATTATTTTGTTTCCTTTGTTAGTTTTACAACTTACAGTGCTTTAGAAAATGTATGTAATTGCAAGCAGGATCCAAGAGTGAGAGAGGTGACTTCTACTAAATAAGCATGATGATGGAAAAAAGCCCCTATGATTGTGGGAGTACATGCTAATAGAGGAAAAGGTCAGTTGCAATCAAAAGTAACAAGTAAATTATGAAATGCCAGGGTTTGATAGAGATAAAAATAAGTAATACAGGTGTGTGGTAGTAGGAAAGGGTGTAGAAAAGAAGGGAGAAGTCTTCTTTTCTTAGAGATGAAACACAAGGATCAGTTCCCTGAAAACTTTCTCTAGGGTTCACAACTAAACTGCAATAAATGAGGATAGCAGGGAGACCATAATAGCAGTATTTCAGGTAATGAAGGAAAATTCCAAGCCAATTCCATAAAAATATGGCAAACAATTTTATGGAGGCAATGGTTACCTCTTTGTCCCTGGGTTGCACCTGAATCACTGAACATTCCCAGGAAATGTTTGCTTTGATATTGGCTTTGGGGAAGTAATATCTGAATACTTAAAATTCAATAACGTTAGGAGTGTTTCTCGATGCCAGAAAAGTGCAATCACCCATGTTTATTCTAGCAGTGTGATTTACGGTAAGCATCTGTTTATTCTAGGGGGTCTGGTGTCTGTGCAGCTGAGTTCCATCATGCGGATCCTACCCGAACTCCTTTTAAAAAACCTTATGTGCTTATGATGTGATTGCACTGGGCAAAGACATCTCAGTTTGCTCCTGCTTTCACCTAGACTTCACCTTTCCATTTTCTCCTTGTAATAGTCATGATTGAACAACAGATCTCTTGGGCCTTCTGAGGTCTTTCAGAAGGTCATAGATTTCAAAAGTGGCATCAGAAACTGCTGACCCACATCCATGTTATATATTATTTTGAAAAACTTTAGATTTGAGGAATTAATAATTTGTTGGTCACCTCAAAGCTTCCTACTGCACTCGGCTGGCTCAGCAGGTCTTGGCCCTGCCTGTGCCCTCAATCCTGGCAACAGGGTGGCTGGAGGTGGGAGTCTGTGGACCTTCCTGCGCCCTGGGAATTTGGTATTATCACTCATGCTCACATGAGTCAAGGATCTTCCTGGCTTCTTGCCACACTTGACTGGCTCTGTAGATCTTCGGCCTGCCTGTGTGAACTTCCCAGCTTCCTACCATGCTCAGCAGGCTCCACAGGTCTTGGACCAGCCTGTGCCCTCAATCCTGGAAACTGAGTGGCCAGAGGTGAGTTTCCCTGAACCATCCTGAGCCCCTGGAGTGTAAGATCATTGCTCCCACTGGTCAGGGAACTTCCCAGCTTCCTGCTACACTTGCCTGGCTCCACAGGTCTTGTGCTTGCCTGCGCCTTCAATCCTGGGAACAGGTCAGCCAGAAGTGGATGTCCATGCACCATCCTGATCCCCAAGAGTTTGGGATCGTTGCTCCCGGCAGTCAAGAAACTTACCAGCTTCATGCCATAGTTGGCCAACTCCACAGGTCTTGGGCCTGACTGCACCATCCTGATCCCCAAGAGTTTGGGATCGTTGCTCCCGGCAGTCAAGAAACTTACCAGCTTCATGCCATAGTTGGCCAACTCCACAGGTCTTGGGCCTGACTGCACCAACTTCCCAGTTTCATGCCCAGTGACCCTCTCTCAATCCAGGGAAAGGGGCAGCTACAGTCCAAGGAACTGAGGGCATAGAAGACAATTTCCAGAGGAAGCCTTGGAACAACTGAAGCAGGGAAATATAGGAAAATTATCCCATGCATCTTGTTGGATTATAGGGCTACAAAACTAGAAATTAATGATAAAAGAAACTGCAAAATGCCTGCAAACACATGGATATTGAGTAACATAGTCTTGAGCAATCAGTGGGTCACAGGGGAAATTAAAGCAAAAATAAAACAATACCTATAAGCAAACAAAAATACAAATACAACTCATCGGAGTCTGTAGGATGCAATGAAAGCAGTCCTCAGAGGAAAATTTATTGCACTGAGTTCCCACATCTGGAAAACAGAATGCATACAAATAAATAACCTGATGTTACTCCTCATACATCGACAAAAAGAAGAGCAAGCCAAGCAGAAAGCCAAAAGAAGGGAGAAAATTATAAAAATCAAAGCAGAAATTAATTTAATAGAGATTAAGAAAACAATGCAAAGAATGAATGAATCAAAGAGTTGCTTCTTTGAAAGAATAAATAAAATTGATAAACCCATAGTCAAGCTTATTAAACAAAAGAGATGAAAAATCTGAAATTCATGAAATAAGGAATGAAAAAGTTGATATCACTACAGACCATGTAGAAATACAGAAGATCTTTAACACTTATTTCAAAAAACCTCTACTCGATAGGTTTGATAACACAGAAGAAATGGACAGATTCATAGAAATATATGAAGTACAAAATCTAGATCAAGAAGATGTAAAACTGCCAAATAACCCAATTTCTTTTAATGTAATTGAAAATGTGAAGACTCCTTATCTACAAAGAACAGCCCAGCCCAAGATGGATTCCCTGAAGAATTCTACAAGAAATACAAAGCAGAATTAATGTACACATTCTTCAAAATTTTCAATGAAATCAAAAAGAAAGAAATTCTTCCTATGTCATTCCTTGAATCAAATATTATTCTCATACTAAAACCTGAGAAAGACCCGACTAAAAAAGAGAACTATTGGCCAATCTCCCTAATGAACATAGATGCAAAAATCCTCAAAATATTGACAAATAGGATGCAGCAAATCATCAAGAAGATTATACACCATGACCAAGTGAGATTCATCCCAGGCATGCAAGGATGGTTAAACATATTGAAATCAATAAACGTAACCCACCATATCAATAAAAGCAAAAGTGAGAATCACATGATCATTTCTATAGATGCATAAAAAGCTCTTGATAAGGTCCAATATTCATTCATGATAAGAACCTTACAGAAAATTGGAATAGATGGTCTTTAGTGAAATATGATAAAGGCCATCTATGACAATCCAACCGCCATTACCATACTAAATGGCCAAAAACTGACAGCCTTTACCTTAAAATCAGGCACAAGACAAGGATGTCCTTTATCACTGCTCCTATTCAATATAGAACTGGAAATACTAGCCAGAGCAATTAGACAATAGAGAGAAATAAAAATCATAAAGATAGGAAAAGAAGAAGTTAAGCTATCATTACGTGCAAATGACATTATGCTCTACACAGAAGACCTCCAAAACTCCATTGAAAGTCTCCTAGATATAATAAATGAATGCAGTAATGTAGCTGGATACAAAATCAATACTCACAAATCTGTAACATTCCTATACAATAACAACAAAATCACAGAGAAATAAGTGAAGCTGCGCTCTTCACACTAGCACCCCAAAAAATGAAATACTTATGAATTAATCTCACAAAAGAAGTGAAAGATCTAAATAGGGAAAATTATGATATGTGAAAAAAGAAAATTGAAGAAGATCTCAGAAAATGCTCAAAGATAGGGAAAATAAATGTGAAAATGTCCATTCTCCAAATCTGTTATACAGATTCAATGCAAAATGCTCAAAGATAGGGAAAATAAATGTGAAAATGTCCATTCTCCAAATCTGTTATACAGATTCAATGCAATCCCAATAAAATACCATCAACATACCTCATAGATCTAGAGAAATCACTTCTAAAATTCATCTGGAACCAAAAGAGACCTAGAATAGCAAAGGCAATTTTAAGCAGCAAAGAAAAGTTAGGAGGCATCACAAGCCCTGACTTGAAGTTATACTACAAAGTAACTGTAATAAAATCAACATGGTACTGGAATAAAAACAGAGCCAAAGATCAGTAGAATAGATTAGAAGATAGAACCACAACTACAAATACACTCGATCACCTTATCTTTGATCAAGGAGACAAACAGGTTCACTAGAAGAATGACAGTCTCTTTAATAAATGGTGTTGGAAAAACGTGCTCTCCATATGCTGAAAATTAAAACTAGACCCATGCCTGTCACTATGTACTAAATTAAAATCTCAGTGGATCAAAGATATGCATATTAAAACAGAAATACTAAATCTATTGGAAGGCATGGGCTAAAAACTTTGAAGACATAGGGATAGGTAGAGAATTCATGAACAGGAATCAAACTGCACAGGAAATACTTCCCTGAATCAACATCTGGGATCGTATCTTATTAAAAAAATTTCTGCATGTCAAAAGAAATCTCCAGCATAGTGAAAAGAAAATTGACAAACTGGGAAAGAATCTTAGTGAACTGTCCCACAGACAAGGGACTTCTGTGTAGAACATATAAATAATTAAACATATCAGACCCCCAGAATTCACAGATCCAATCCAAAAATGGACATCTGAGATGAATACACTGTTCTCAGATGAAGAAATACAAATGGAAAATAAATTCATGAAAAAATGTTCATCAGCAGTACTCATTAGTAAAATGCAAATTAAAACCACACTGACATTCCATCTCACTCCTGAAAGAATGTCCAGGATCAAGACAACTACCAACCACAAACGCTGGAGAGGCTGTGGGGATAAAGGAACTCTCCTGCACTGTTCATGGAAGTGTGACTGGTGCATTGTGGAGATCAGTCTGGAGATTTCTCAAAAAACTGGGATTGGAAGTCCCATTTGTTTCTGCTATTCCACTTCTAGGCATATTCCCAGAAGAATGGAAAATATCATACCATAGTGATATATGTGAACACATGTTTATAGCAGCACCATTTGTAATAGCCAGATCTTGGAAACAACCTAAATGTCCATTAAATGAGGAATGGATAAAGCAGTTGTGGTATTTTTATACAATGGAGTACTACTCAGCTATAAAGAATGATAGCATTGAGATATTTATAAACAAATAGATGCAGCTTGAGGCCATACTCATAAAAAAATAAATCAAACTCACATGTATAAATACCAAATAGTCTCCATATTGTAAGAAATGGTAAGAATACATAAAAGTGTGTGGTAATCATAATTCCCCATTATATAGCTTTGAAGCCTTATAATATTTTCACTCATTAGTTAGAATATTTTTATTCTAGGTTGTTTGATTTTATTTCTGTGATGGTATGAAAGGCTATTTTGAAGAAAACCAAACGTTGTAATAGCTAGTGCTGATTTAATATCATCTTGTTTTGAAGTCATCCCAATGTTTTGTTCTTCTGGTTTCATTGGTTTTATCATGTTGTATTTTATTGGATTTTATTATTGTGATAGCATAAACAAAATTTGTTTTTGGAAAAAGAGATAATTTGATAACCATTGTTTGTTTTCTGTTGGTTTTGAACTCCCTGTAATCCTTTATTCTCTTGAATGATTTTTATACTGTTTTATTATGTTTGATACTATAGTGTATGAAGGTATACTCAAATATTTCATGGAAAGCGACACTATGGTAGCTACTGTTATGTCAGGTTGTCTTGTGTTGAAACACTATGTTGCTTAAATTGCTCTGTTCTGACCTGTTTTGTTATGTCTTTTATCTGAATCTTTTTAAAATAAAAAAAAAAATTAAAAATTTGTTAAGTAATTATTTATCTATGCATGACCTGCTATGGTCTAGGCACTTGTCTAGGCTCAAAACATACAGCAACAAGCATTTTTGACACTCACACAACTTAGAACTACAGAGGAAACAAACTTACAGGAAAACATTCTTCATCATGTGAGGGGAGCCATCCAGACTGCCTCAAATCTCAGGACCATTTAAGAACACTGCAGATATGACTCCACTTGTCTAGTGCAGGCACATAGTGGGATATAATTATGTAATTATGACTTAGAGGAGGTAAGCATGCATGCACTGCGTATGGTACTATGTAAAATGTAAATATGAGGTAACAACATGTGTAAGAATTACACAGTAATGATGCAGGTAACTCTGGCTCTTTCTGTTGTTCTCTTGTTGTCATCCTCTGGTTCTCTGCCCTGCTCCATTATGCCTGACATTGTTGATGATGTCTTGCACACAGGAGTTCTTTAACCTTAGGACTTTACCAACTGCCATTCTTTATGTTGGTGGCCCCCAGGCATCATGCATTTGCATTGTGCATTTGAGACTGGTTCATTT